CATCATCATCATCATCATCATCATCATCATCATCATCATCATCACCATCATCACCCCCACCACCTCGCTAGACCTACCACCGTGGCTCCAAACATTTCGAACGGATAGGCTACCACATACACAACAACAGCAACCAGAAACAGCAACACCAACAACAGCAATACAAATAAAAAGAACAATAGATTACAATTAATTATTTCATGTATAATTTGAATTAATCAGTGGTTGATTTATTTTGGAAGTCTTTATGGAAGAAGAACACATAAGGCTTCTACTAGAGGCCAGTTAAGTAGAAAAATTGTGTTGATAAAAGGTTTCTTGTATTTTTGTTGGTATATTAGTAGATTCTAATGAAAGTCGAAAATCAAGTCTCGAGATGCGAATATTTTCAGCTTTAAAAATTCTCTTTCGAAAGTTTTTGTATTTCAAAATGTGAGTCTTGCTTTTATATCCCCCCCCCCTTCCCAAATCGACTCAAGATCTCATTGTCAATCAGAAAATTCTGGCATGGGTACTGTGTACAAGATGGCTGCAAACATGGAGCAGTGGTTTTGTGCCGAGTTGGGCAAACTCGGAATTGATGCTACCGAAGACAATGCACAGTAAGAGTGAATTTAATGTTTTATTAGTTTTGTGATAACGTGCTTTTTAATTTAAATAGGATTTTGAAACGGGGATTTTCATGGCTTCAAATCAGTGTTTGGCCGGCTGGAAAACGGCTAGCCTGAGTTGTTGCCATCTTGTTGTGCAACACTGCTACCAACACTACGAGAATCTACTGCTACCCCAGACTTCTGAGAATTCTAAGATTCGGTTTCACTTTCCCTTACTTTTCGTTAACATACTAGTCTGTAAACAAACTGACGTGTAAATAATTTTCCGTTTTAATGAGTGTAATCATGGTTAGTCCAGAATGAAATAGCACAGAGACCACGACTGGTAGCGGTCAAAACAAACTCACAAACTTATGAAACTAGAATCTAGATCTATCTAGATCTAGATTTCTAGAATCTAGATCTAGATCTAAATCTAGATCTAGATCTAGACTGGACAGTCTCTTGATATCTAATCTAGATCTAAATACAATTCAGGTTTTGACTTTGACATAGGCCTACGCCAATTCATACTCATGTCATCATATGTCTTGTCATGTATTTAACTAGGCCTAAGCCTAAGCCTACATTGACACTGGCTTAGTGGCTTTCACCCTTACCTTGACAAATTGACCTCTTCTTCTTAGCCCTTGTTTTGTGCTCAACTAGATCTGAAGCAGTGATGAAATTTGTGGTGAGCTTTAGACAACTTACTTTAGTAGTGAATAACGAAGGCTTCAAAACTTTTATCCCCTGGGTCCCAAATTATTGCCAAATTCTGTCATGCACACTGATTAGGCCTTAGTGTAATTTGGCACCTTCAATTTCCTGTTTCTTTTAGAAACCTGGCCTGGTATGCATACGTTTACCATAAAAGCTTAGAGCCATGATCCCCATGATTTGATCTAAAATAAATCAGCTGTAGATTCCAGTATGAAAGCTCACATCATTATTACATTGAGGCTGTCATTTTTGTCTTTATTTCCTGAGGTTTTCATTTTGATGGAGAGTAGATGGTGGTAGTACCTGTACTGTTTGTATAATTATGTAAAAATATAGCCTTTATGCTACATGCAATGAATGTTTTCCAGGTACATTCTATCGATTGAAGATGCAAATGATTTAGAGGACTACATGAGGGAACTGCTTGATGCCTCTCATCCAAAAGTTCGGGTATTCTTGCAAGAATTAAGGTCAAGGTGCAAAGTGAATGGTGGCCATGACAGTGTTCAGGTAATACTGATGTTTCACATGTAACCATTACCAAATAGAAGTGTTAAGGGTACATTGATCGTTGGTCAACTAAGAGCTTGAAGGAGTCAATAGATCTATGCCTTGCGAAAGCCTGTAGGCCTAAGTTGTTTGTTATTATGCAAGATTCCCCCCCCCCCCCCAAAAAAAAAAAAAGAAAAGAAAAATTAAAATTAACAATATATTGGCCAATGAAGCAATCCCTGTCAAACAAAGACATGTTACAAGTTTGTTTTGCGATCTACAGGAATACTTGTATGTGTTAAATTAATTCACTTTTGGGCAATTGCTTCTAAAAAATCTTCGGCAAATAGATGGGTAACAAGTGCAAATGAGTTGTCACAGTTTCAGAGGGAGAAACAAATAACTTTCTCATATTGTACTGCTGTGAAAAATAAAGTTTAGAACCAATGGTCGTTTCCTAACATGGTTGTATTTGTTTTCAGACAATTTGTGCAGAATTTTTAAAATTAATTTTTCATAACCTTAACATTGCATGAACAGGTATGGGAGTTTTCCCCTGGTCAAGGAATTCAAAGTAGGCATCAGGACTTGCTTTTCCTCCGAGTTTGAAAATTTGTTCTGTCATAGATTTGTATGCCTTTATATGATTTTCAGCATATTGATAGTGAAAGTGTGAACCCACGAACTGCTCAGTCCACACTTGCTTCTTGACATCTTGTTAACCATGTCATGTGTACTCTTTCGACGAATTTTTTGGGCATTTTGATACCCTTTGATAATACACAGTTGCTTTTGATTGCTACAGTTATTTTGAATACTATTTAGCTTTATAGTCTGGGCAAAGTTAAGTGGAAGTGTTATGAATTTGCATTGTGTGTAAATTTAAGTTAGAAATATAATAAAAGTAAACAGGCTTCTATCTTGCAGCTGATTTCTGGTTAGTATGCTTAAAACTTTGTGGAGGTGTTGCCTTTTTTTGGGGGGTGAGCATAGTGACATGAAGTTGTTGATTTTATAATGGGTTACCTTTAATCTTTTACATGTATGGATAGTAGCTTCCGTTTCTAGTATGATGTTTATTTTTCTATTTTTCAGGCATATAAAAAGGATTTTGGGGAATTGCCTCAAACTGCCAAGTCAAAGAAGAAGAAAGGAAAAGAGTCTTCTGGTTTGAATGATCAAAGTCAGCCAAGAGGACAAAACAATTCAGTGGGTATCAACGAGGTACTGAAGTTTATTCTGGAAACAAATTACATAAATTAACTTATTATTTTGCTGAATGGATGTTTGATTAATTTCTACTATGGGATGGGGGAGAAATCAGCACTGAGTGATAATTAACAGCGTTTCTTTCAATTGAGCTATGTCTCCAATTTTTTTTGGGTTCAGATCTGCTGTGGTTTGAGTTACTATCTTTTACTTTTCATTCAGTGTTATTGCTAATTGAAAATAACTTTTAACTCACTTGCCCCAATTGATGCACATATGCCGCAGAAATCCCACATTTACTTTCACCTGCATGTGGTTCTTATGTATTGCATACACTGTATTGATTGATGGCCCTCTCAGCCATTGTGTGATGTTTTGGCAATTTCTCGAAAGGGTAAATGAGCCTCTTGTGAGATGTTTGTTATTTGTTTGAATTGAATTTGTACCAAGTTAGCTGATTATGTTACAAGGGGAGGAGTGTGGAAACTGTTGCACTCTAAGAGTAATTCTGTTTCAGAACAATTGTTCTATTTTTAATCAGATTTCAGAACAGAGAGCAGCTACATTTCAACAGTCTACCCTCTCTGGTCAGGGAAACTCTGCTGAAATTGGTATAGGAGCAAAGAAAAAGTCAAAATATGTGCCTTTGTACAGTAAAGAAGGCCAAGCCAAGTCTGTGATCCAAATTCCAGGTGAGAGGATAGCTTTATGTTGTCTGTTGGTTTTTTTTCGCTCTCCTTAAGTTCATTCTTATAACCAGTTCTGTTGATCGACTTATCAACTGACTTGAGCCTAAAATTGGTCTAAAATTATGTTATTTGTGCAGTTAGGTATTTTCTCTTTCTACACTTTAATTTTAATACTAGTGTTTTACAGATGTTTCTTGATTTAGTAATTTAGAAAGCATAAATGTATCTAGAAGAGCAATAACAAATTAATGTTATGGTAACAGTACATTTGGTAGGGAGTTGAGGCATGCATGTTCTTTTTCTTCACAACCTTTCTATGATTTGCATAACTTTGACATAAAAGAGGATTTGTTTGCCTATTGTTTTCTCACACAGCTCTTTGTCATATCCACAGGTCGACATACATGTGAATGCCAAGCAGCAAAACACAAACTGATCAACAACTGCATGAAGTGTGGTAGAGTTGTCTGTGAGCAAGAGGGAGCGGGGCCTTGTGTCTTCTGTGGAAACTTGGTACTGGATATTAGTATTATTATGTAGTTCATCTTTATATTAATAGAGTGTCCTTTGAACAATGTTCAACCTAGAAATGAATATAATATACAACAATTCTGTGTTGTAGTAATACAAAGTTCAACTTAATAATGACTATTATGTTGTTCATTTTAAAAATTACAAATGTCCTTGGAAGAAAACTTTGCTGTGTTTGTCTCAGTTATCTCATTTTCAAACACTCCATCTTTATTGGATGGTTAACAGTTTTCATTTTTCAAAAATCAAATTTCTTTACAACTCTGAAGAGGATATATGACACATATATGGTGTCTGTTATTTCGTTTAGCATTAGAATAAATATTTTAATTCTGAACTTCAGATGGGAATTGGGATAATCTTCCGCAAAAATCCGTGATTTCAGCAGCCATAGAAAGTTTTGGTTCTTAAATAGGAAGAAAATAGTACAACAAAGTGAAAGGCTGAGAAATACCATGATGAAATTATTTTTTAAAATTTGTCTGTGTCCATAGGTCTGCACCCCTGAAGATCAGGAAATAGTTTCCAGGGGCTCAAAGAAAGGAGAAAAATTACGACAGTATCTGATGAAGGGAACTAACTTGGGACAATCTGGAGAAAATGCTGATCATGTGCCTTTACCTCATGCTCTTGCCAAGTCTCAGCAGGGATTTGACAGGGCTATGAAACACAGAGACAAACTATTAGAGTATGACAAAAACAGGTAAATATTGATGGATTGTTGTCTCCTTTTTCCCCCCCTTTGCTCCCTTTACTAGTTTTGTAGAACTGTGCAAGTGAAGTGTGGTTTTGTTTTTCTATTAGAAGCCTTGTTTGGCATATTGCAAGCACTTCAGGGAAATACATAATTAAAGTAACCTACTAGTGTTTAAGGGAAGCATAATCATTTGGTGATTGTTGAATAACAGTTGTCCTTAAGCTTGTTTTTTTTCAAATGTTGAGTCTTGTGAAAGATATCCAGTCATTGTCTTGTTGGGGGCAAAATTAAAATAAGGTCTGCGGTTTTGAAGTCAGTTACTTTGAATATAAAAAGTGTTGTAGAAAGATAGCCTGTGTATAGCAGTTCTGCCTCATTCTTTCTTCATTTTATAGTCTGGTGCTTATTATTTTCCTGTGCTCAAGAAGAACAGTGAAGAACGGCAAGCTTGTGTCCATTCAATGGATTTGAAATGTAAAATTCTAGTAAGGCTTCTGAAATGTCTAGATTTGATTTATTTTTAACATTTCCCCCCCCCCCCCCCCTCCAGTGTGAGAAGGACGCAAGTGATTGATGATGAGTGTGACTACTACGCCACTGATGCCAACCGCTGGCTCAGCAACGACGACAGAGAAAAACTACGGAAACGTGAAGAGGAACTCCGGCATGCTCGACATGGCTCTCGTCGCGACAGGAAGATCACTTTCGACTTTGCTGGCAGGAGAGTTGTGGATGCTGAGGAGGATGCTGGGAAGTCCATGTACAATAATGAAGATGCTGTGATCCAGCAAGTGCATTATGGGAAGTCGGCAGCCAATGGAAAGGCTCAGGAGATTATCAATCCCACCATTGTTTCTGAACCACCTATAGTGAGTTATTTGTATGTGTTGTGTGTGGCCTCGGGGTTTTGATTCTGTAGCAGAAGTTATTAATTAGTTGTTTGCTGCTGTTATACTTGGTTACAGTGTTCATCTGTCTTAAGTGCCAACAAAACAGGACAGACAACCTATTTCTCCTTGCTCTAAGTTTTGTCTTATGATTGTGTACGTAATGAGTAGTAATAATAAAATAATACCAATTTCATTGTAAAGTAATGTTCAACTCTGAAGTTATGGCTGATTTTCATTATAGTAGCTCCTGACCTTTAACAAAGAGCTAGAGCTACTAAAATGTCTTTTCTTTTAGTGCATTACGTAAGCACCATTTTAATTTGTTTTTAATCTTATTTCTTGTGTCAAAATAGTATCAGTGAATGTTATTTCAGTGTAGATGTCAGGATTATTTCGTTTGACTTCATTATCTGAGGAATGGAAGCAAGAAACTTGATTTACACTCTTCTTTTTTTTTTTTTTGGTCTACTTCTCCTTTTGTAAAGTCAAAATTGAAAGTGTTTTGAAAGATCTACCATAATTATGACGATTAAAGTTTGACTTCATGTTTTCGGGGAATAGTCCTCTTGATAGATTATAGAAGGCATTCTCTTGCCAAATATACCTTTGTATTTTGGATGAGTGCATCAAATCAAAAATACATTTCCTGTTATTTTTAAACTAGTGAACTTTGATTATTTATTGGTCCATTATAGTGTACTGACATTTTTTTCTTTGTCTTCAGTTTATTGAAGACCCATCATCAAGAGGGGGCGATTCTATCAAATCTTCCTCCGGATTTTCACACAAGATACAGTCAAAGTCTAGTCGTATTCAGGACCGAGAACTGCAGGAGATGTCGGATGAAGGAATGTGTATGAGCATGCACCAACCTTGGGCGTCACTGCTTGTGTGTGGAATAAAAATGTGAGTTACATCAATAAATACATACAGCTCTCTGAACTGATGTCCACATGTCACTCTCTTGTCAACTGTAGTAGAGTTTTTTTCTACTTATATTTTGATTGAAATTATTTTGTCCTGAGCAAATTTCTGTTGACCAGAAAAGATGGTTATTGGTGATTGATAAATTAAACTGTGGTATTTGTATTCTTTCAAATGGTTTGATTGATGATTGACCTAGGCCATTGCTAGTTGAGGTATGGATCTTTCCAGACGTAAGGTTGATTGTGTGTCGAATTGTAACTGGAAAACCGTAAGGTGAAGTTTTAAAATATATGAATTTTGTTATTGATGTCACAGTGCAGTCAGTGGCTGATTTTTATATATCTTGATGTAGGCTATATTTAGAGTTGTATTAGTTGTACCTCATATATTCTTGTTCCCCCTTTTATCCTATTATTTTTGTGCTTAATGTTTCCTGTTAATTTTGTCTTATATTATCACCTTTCCAAAAAAATGCAGATGATCTGGAGGTACTGGGATGTGGTTTTCTCCTTTAAATTCTTGCTGCGTTGCTATTGTCCTTTCAAATGAAACAAGATTGATTTCATGGCTACCTGTCTGAAGCCACAATTCATCCGACCATTCCTTGAGAATGAAAATTATTTTGTCCTGTATGTTTAAATGCCTCTATGCATATTTCAGGCACGAAGGAAGAACGTGGTATACTCCTCACCGAGGACGTTTGTGGATTGCTGCCACGGCGAAGACGCCACCAACAGAGGAAATTGCAGAAATGGAGCAGATGTACCGTGCCTTGTACGGAGGTAAAGGATGTTCACAGCTGTTGGCTGCGGTTTTTGTGTCTTAATTGTAGCTGTGGTAACAAGAACACAGCCTTTCGTGCTTCCGCTGATATCCCTGCACAGCCACAATGTTTTTCAGTCCCTATATACTATACCCCTGTCGCCATGACTGAACAAGCTTTTACCAAACTACCAAATCCAGCGAAACTTTTTGTTACTGCTTCCTTTTCAACTTCATAAACAGTGAGCATACTTTACAACCCAGTTTTTTTTACTCTTAAGATGTTTGAGAATTGGTTAGAGAGCATATTTCCTGTATATTTGACTTTGATGTGCAAACAAAACTTTTACAGACAGGGATGTCAGAATCAGGCTCTCACTTCTCTTTCATTTCATTTGATATAAACTATAATAAACTGTCATGGTTACAGTATAGAGTAAGATGTTTATTTTTATTTTGCCTTGTGTTCTTGAGAGCTGTTTTGTCTGGCTATTATTTCATTAAGAATAAGAATATTATGATGTTGGCGCTTACTGTCTGCAGAACTGTGGTATCTACTCAGATTTCTTTGTTTGATTTCTAAGAAAAAACATATTTGTAGAGGATTCGTTTACTTTTTTTCATCTTTATTAATTCCTGTTTTGAGTCAGTTTTGAGTTGCATAATTCTCCTCCTTTTGTGACTGTGCACCTTTTCAGATGTTGGGCTGCCCTTTCCTTCGGAGTATCCAGCTGGATGCTTGTTAGGCTGTGTAAATGTTGACGACTGTTTAGACCAGGATGAATACAGGAAGCAAGTAAGTGTGATATTTTTGCAGAGAGAAAGATTGCTAGATGTATGGCATGGTATGGTTTTTATTAGTATAACATACTTATATATTCTTTAAGGGGTATTTATGAGACATGTTCTGCAAATTTTACCCAAGTAGATCTTCTTTACGACGTTGCTTTTTGAAGTCCAGCCTATGTTTCATGTTTAAATATTGCTGAATAACTTTTGTGTCTTTCAATCTCAGTTCCCCGATGGAGAGTCAGGGTCACCGTATGTGTTCATCTGTACCAGCCCCCAGCAGTTGATAGTTAAGTTTCCCATCAAAGGAAAGCACAAAATTTGTGAGTATTTACCTACGGTCTGTCTCAGCACTCTAGGTTTGCTGGAAATGAAGAATACGTTTTGGATCTATAGTGCGGTCAAAAATTCGTGGTGCAACTTATCCTCAAATATCTCTTTAACGGGAGAATCAATGTCATCCATACTTTGCATAGCAGTTTGCATCAATTTGTCTTAACTAAATCATATTTTTCTAGAACAATTGGGGCTAGATTAAAAACTTTTCTTCATAAATTTATATAAAATACTTGAAATCTCTGTCATACGTAAAGTGGTATTGTTCACAGCACTTCCTGCTTCTCACACTCATTTTGATAACGCATATGGTCTACGTCACAGCTCATTAAAGACATTTTTACTTGCAAAACTTGTTACAAGAAAGTATTGTTATAGTGGACACATTTTTGCACTAATGGTTCTCAAAACATGCGTTCAATAAGCATAATGTCCCGATTAGAAAAACCTGACGGACTTGCTATTAAAAGCTATATTGCCCCAGCTGTAAACATTTAAAAATCTGTAGAAACCACCCGCTTGGATTTTTTATTAGTATTTTTGAAGGAATTTTCTAGAATACAGCTTGCAGATGTTTACAAAAACATTGATCTGTTAAGACAAATTGATACAAGTCACTGTGCAAAAATTGGAGAACCTATGTTAGATAGTTGAGGAGATATTTGAAAATAAGTCGCTCCACAAATTTTTGACCGCACTATAGTGTAAGAGTTTTGACTTCTTTAAAGTAAAACTATTTCATGAAAATATTTATCTGTTTCAAATTGAGGTCAGCATATTTCAGCTATTCCAGTTGTTAAAGAGCATCTCGAACTCACTTTGGTCTGGTTTTACTTTTACTCTAAATTGTCTGTCGACCTCTCTCCTAAATCTAAACTATAATCTGCCTGAAAAATTAAGTGAAATAACTTTGTAGCTTAAAAAATGTCTGAAGTTGAGGAATAAGCTTTGCCCTTCTCTGCTGTATTTCCATCCAACATGTTCGTATGTGCTTGCTTGTGTTGTCTCCTCCTGAAAATGATTTCCCTTATTTCCCCACAGATAAACTGGAGACTCATATACACCAAGCAGCAAAGAAGGGTCTGAGATAGCACTAGTGTTGTTGAATGGTTTTTCTGTTTGTTGTAAGTTGCTGAATGATCATGGAAATGGTTCTTGACTTTTGAAAGATCGTGGAAATGGGTTTTGACTTATGAATGATCATGGAAATGGGTCTTGACTTATGAATAATCGTGGAAATGGGTGTTGCCTCAGAAGAGGATGAATCATAATAATCTTTGTGGATGGTTGAAAAAGGCTGTGTGATTCATGTTTTACTTGTACATTTGATGGATGAGCTAAGGGAAGACAGACTATTCTTTGACAATTTAGCAGTTTTGGTATTGAATTTTGGTGAAAACTGCAAACTGTATTGTCAAAGGTTTCTTTCTAGTTCATTTTTAAAAAATGGATTGTTCCTTATTTTAGGTCTAGATTGGCCACAAGTATCAACAGTGTTGCTTTGTTTCGTACTTCGATAAACCTGAACCACACTGTGTAGTTTTAAACAAGAAACTGCAAAGTGATTCCGTTTTTTTTTCTGCAGCAACATATAATCTTGGCCATGTAACCTAGTTTGTGACTTTTGAAGACAATATGTGAGGCATCATGGTGAAATAAGGTGCTTGTCAAAATAATAAAATTAACCCTTTAAGACCGGGACACATCTGCCTAAGAGTGACCCCACTCAGGAAAAATGGGGGGTGACCCATTTCAGGTGCATTCTAAAGGATAATATTTAGAATAAACTAAGAAAAGTATATATTTTCTGAAATGTGACAGAATTAGGTTCTAGAAAATAATGTTTTCATGCAAGTTGAGATTGATTTTGCTTTAGTATGACTCTCTGTAATGAGTCACTGAATAGTAAAGTAAAAAAATAAAAAATTGACCTGTCATTTTCAAACCTCTTCTACACATAATATGGACTAGACATATGAATCATTTTCATTTTTTATTGTAGAAAATTCTATTTCTGACAGCTCCTCCAAATTTCAGCAATATTCATTTATGTCTTTAGAAGTTATCACCTTTTTTGTCCAACCCCCGCCCTCCCCAAAATGGAAAAATTAATTTTGTTCTTGAAATTGACCAGGTATAGATCTAAATAATTTGAGTGCTTCATATAAAACCATATGTTGGTGTGGCTAAAATTACCACATTGCTGGTGGTTAGGAAATTATGCAAAATGCAAAAATCTGCATTATTTCACCACATATGGGTCAAATTATGTAACATAAGCAAACACCCCACAGTGACAGTGGTGATGGATAAACACAGAGTACCAAGACATACAAACATGACAGAAAAAATAGAGGGAGAGCGGACAGTCTGGACAAATTTCCCTATTTACAATACTCACATTGCATCATATAATCCAACTTCCCCTGACGGTGTTGAGATTTCATCATGACAAATATCTAATACGAAAGAATTATGATGTCACAACAAATAACCTAAACACAAATAAACACTGTTACACTGTCCCTGAAATAATCAAACAAGGCGGTCAACTTCAGCTGATAGCACTGAACTATTCCTTCCTTGCCTTCTTCCTGGCAACTGCAGCTGTCTATCAGGATCATCAAAGGTGTATTTCAACATGAAATGACTGCGGTCGAAGCAAGGGGCTGGGCACATCCGAACACCACATGCATTACACAAGTAGACAGTATCCACTCTTTGCTTGTGGACCTGGCACGGCGAATGCTTGTCCATCTTCTTTGGGGCATGCTCCAGTTGTTGGTTGAATCGCTCACATTCATGCAGATCTGAGGGGCGGTGAACTGTCCTAGCCGCATTCTGTCCGATGAGCTCTTCTGCAAGTTTTTTGCATCCAGTCTTTGAGCTTCATTTTCTCGCCGGTTAGTTTGCAATGTAGAATGAAAGCGTTGATTCGACAGATGTCCCTGAGGAACCAAAACAGCTTGAGGTATCACACTTTGCCCCTCATCAAACGTTTGTGGGCATTGATCAGCTGATCTGCCAGATCCACACCTCCCATGAAAATGTTGTAACGGGCGATTACGAGTGGCCGTGGAATCTCCACCCTTTTCCACTGCCCACATAAATTCACCCATCTTCTTACTGTGTCAAGTTCTTCTGTTATGGGCTTTGTTGTCAGGACAGAAATGGGTTTCTTGTCCTGCCATGTAACGACAGACATATCTGGTGTGTACCGACAGAGCACATCCCTGTGTTTCAAGGCTTTCACAGCTGGAGCGTCTGTGGAAACAATGTCTTTAGGAAGATCTTTCGTGTTTGCACGGACTGTTCCGAGTGACTATTCCTTTCTTCAAGAGTTCTTTGAAGAGGAGCGCACTTGAGTACAGAGTGTCAAAAAATAGGTTGTCTCCCAGGTTATGAAATGGCTTAGTCAGGTCCACCACCACGTCAAAAATAGGACTATTCACCATTTCATTATCGTCCTTGCCTGTGTAAACTTTCAGGTTACATACATATCCAGAAGAAGATTCTGCGACATCAAACACTTTTATGCCCCGTCTAATGGGTTTATCTTTCATGAATTTGCGGAAGCCAAACTTTGACTTGCATGCAATCATGGATTCATCTAAAGATATTTCACGGTTCGGTTTGTACACAGATTGGTATTTTGTCACAACGCTTGAAAGAACAGATCGAACCTTGTAAAGCTTGTCGTAGTCCCGATGTTCTTTATCTTGAATGGCTGCCGAGTTACCCTGAAAATGCAGATATCTAAGGATTCCAAGAAACCTGTCTCGAGGCTTCACTTTGCGAAACCCAGGGCTTTCAGTGAGCCAGTTCAGAGTCCAATAATCTCGTCGGTTACCTCTGGGCATAAGCCCCATTGCCAACACCAAGCCAAAAAATGACCACAGCTCATCCAGTGTAACATTTTCTAACTTACACCTGTGTTTTTCAGGGTTTTTTTTCTTTCATTTGTGGATAGTAAAGATTTGTTTGCTGGACTATAATATTGCCCAGGGCTTCATCAAAGAAAAGGTGAAACAAAGGTCTGGCACTAGCATTTTGCACTGCGTCTGCTCCACCCAGCTGTTCCACAGCATCATTCGACAAACCTGGCTTGCCTTTGAATCTTTCCTCTACTGTATGTAGGTCTCTCAGATTATCAGACCATTGTAACTGTTGATTTGCTGCAGTGTTTCTTGGTCTAGGTCTAGCTCTAGGTCTAGGCCTTTGTTGATCATCACTAGTGCTGGGGGTGGGTTCAGGCACTTCGCCATCACTAGATCTATTATCATCATTATCATCCGTCCTCCTCAACACGTCTCACACGACCACCTCGCCGCACCCCACATGACATTTCAAATCCATCTTCATCAATATCAGACCCATTACGAGTAGTTTCATCTTCATCAGAGTCTGAATCGTTTAGAAAGTACTTATCAAAAACAGTGTTTACATTCATTGTGGTCACTGGGGCAACGCCCCTTTTCACTGTGTGTGAATTTCCAACAAAAAACAGCAAAACTGAACGTAAATGACAAGGCTACGCAAGCCAGCTGATTTCAAAATGGACGCTGCCGAATGTTTTTTTCTGTTTAGGAAAGCTTCGTCCAAGAAATAGTTAATTTTCTTATTGAGAAGTATCATACTTATGAATCACGCACATGTGAGTGTCCTGGTATTTTGGGTAATCAGAGTTTTCCACGCACATGTGAGTGTCCCGGTATTTTGGGTAATCAGAGTTTTCCACGCACATGTGAGTGTCCCGGTTTTATAGGGTTAAACATAGTATCATTTTTCTGCCGGTTGGGCTATTTTTATCTAATTTTTATTTTTTGACTCAGTACCTTTTATGTCCACTTTAAAACACATTTCTATGTGGATTTTACTGAAAAACGTTAACTAAAGGCACCAAAAAAATGTAAATTTCAGTTTTCAATGACGCTAAAGCTATGGAAGTCATCGAACTGGTGGCCATTTGCTCTCTCTGACTTTACCTCTGAAACAAGATGACCCCCACTGCTTTCAGTCACTAATAAAATAATATCTTGATTTTAATTTTCATAGAAATATTGACAACTGAACGATCTTTAAAATGATACAAATAATTCACATGCCCAAAATTTGAAGAGTGCCTGATTCCATCTCATCATGACATGTATTGATATATACAGTATAGCTCGAATTTGTCGGGACCGGCCTCGGTAGTTCGAGGGATCCGTTAGTTCGAGGGATCCGTTAGTTCGAGGGATATATTACAAAGATAAAGAAGAAGTAAAAGAAACTGGACCCCATGCGCAGTTATACGGATTTGTGATTTCAAGTGTTCTGTGTTTGACCTATCCGTGTTATACTGTACTACGGTACATTTTTAAAGGAGACACTATAATTTTATTTGTTCTTAAACGTACCCATATTCTTGGTTGTGGTCCATTCTGTAGTCTTGGGATCTTTATTCAAGCCTCATGGAAGTGTCAGGTGTTGCTGCAGCTTTTAATGATTAGTGTGGATCGTTTTCTGTCATGTTTTTCTTTTACTGTGATGTCATGTTTCTGTTATTAGGTAAAAGAAATTCAAAATAAAAATTTTTTAACTACACAGAAAATATCCTATGTATGAATCACAGCTGTAAAGCAGTTAGACAGACGTTACTCCATCTTTACTAACTTATTGACGTGGGTGGTTGGCGGGTGCTCTGGTGTGGTTTGCTTCTTCTTTCCTATCGAGCGTCTATTGTCTTCATCTCCCCTCCTTCTTTTTTGTGTTTGTTACTCTCTCGTAACACCTCTAATCTTCGGCACTTATATGACCTTATTGTGTTGCAAGTGCCGTAAAACACTTACTAAAACTAAAACTTATTGGCAAAGTCTCTCCTTTGGAGCATATCAAGGACGTCAAGATCTGAAGGGAGGGAAGTAGTACCTGGGCAATGTACAGTACTTATGTCTACCACCCAGGCTAAACTGTATCATGCATACTGCTTTAAAGTCATCAGTCAAGACGATAAAGGCCATATATGGAAAATACTGTTTGTTCAGGAAGGATGAATAAAAGTGGCACCCTTATATCATAATGGGGTGTGTAATATTACCTGCTTGAAGGAACTTTTGAACAGGTGTTCTTTCATTAGTTATATTATAGCTGGTTGGGTTGATTTTGTAGAGTTCTTCTTTTGGTGTAATGACTTCCCATGAGGTATCATTGCTGTTACTGTCTGTGCTTCTGTGTTGGAAAATGTTTATTGTTTTTCTCTTATCATGTGATAAGAAGATAATCACTTAAAATAAAATGTCTTTCAACTGACCAATGTGAATGTGCATCTAAAAGATATGTCGTATTTGTATTGTTAATTTTGTTGTTTGTTGTCCCTTTTGTATTCTTATTTTTTGTTTATTGTCCTTTTTGTATTGTTAATTTTTTTGTTTATTGTCCTTTTTGTATTGTTAATTTTGTTTGTTTATTGTCATATCTTTATTTCCTTTGTTTAGTTTCTTTATCACAGAGCTGCATTAGAAAGGACAGGAGTGCTAAACCTGGTTCTATAATTTCAATGTTTCAGTCAACGCTCAATGTAACACAAGGTGGATGAATATGTTTATCTTTGGTCTCAGAGACGTGAACAACCAAAGTAATGTTGTTTGTTGTTTGTGTCAACGCTCCTGCAGAATTTCACTGGCGTGCGGAAAATAGCAGCTTTCAATGTAGTGAACAATTTAGCGAACTGCCTGTGTAGAATGACAAACATTCACTTTCCTTTGTCGGTTGAGAGGAAAACTAATATTACTTTATCCTTGATTTTTGGCAGTTTATGAAGAGCGACTGGTTGTTAAATTTTGTTTAAATAGTAGTAGATTTATGTGTATGTTATGCAAGGTAATAGGCGAACCAAAGACAATTACGAAAAACAAGTTTCTCAAACTCTTGGGAATAAAAATGTTAAACATTAGAATCTTTGCTCAGAAGTGACCACCTGTCAAAGTTCAAACATTGTATTCTGGAAACTGGCATGTGGCGTGATTTCAAACTTGAATAAAGGAGTTTTCCTCCTCAAACACTGAAGAGTGCCTCATTCCTTTATTTCAGCAACATCATTAGCTCTCAGTGAACAATGTCATTACCACCTTTATGTCTGATATGTTATGCCCTGTTGGCTGTTTATGTGATGGCTTTCTTGACGCAATTTTTGTTTTTGTTTTGGGGGGGGGGGGGGCATGTATTCTGATCAGGCAGGGTATATCAGTTATTATAATCCTCTTAACTACCATCATTGATGGCAACTTCATCCTGCTGAAGTGGTGCTGCTGTCATCCCACCAGTTTTTATCAGTCGTATCATTTTTGTCTTTGGGTATAGATACTCTTTCTTTTATCTGTTTCATCCTCGCGGCTAAATAAAACCACAATCAAAAGTAAAAGTGGGTATTGTCGCAAAGTGTTAGGTGTTGAATCAAAGTGATAAATGCTTTTGAATAGACCCTACTTCTCTATATGTATTTTTATTTTGTCAGGGTTTATAAAGTATTTTACAGAAGAAATGCTGGCAGTGTCAACAACTATTGGGTCTATGTTTGGATTTGCTGGTTATTTCCCCCCCCCCCCCCTCTCTCCCACTCTCCCCTCCAGATTTCAGTTGTCAGAAGCAACATTTACATTACATAGTTCGGGATGCTTTCATGTTATATGACGTTCCCTCTGCAGTCTGCAAAGAGAATAGTGAGCAATGGTTCCACTCTCTCTCTTACAAAAAGACTTTGTGCTGAATACATATCATCACATGTTGTATTGTTGAGTACTTCAGGTCCATGTAAGGGTTTGGGAGTGCCTCTGACAGATCCTACGTCTTTTCTTTCCCTGTGTTGTTTCTGTCTTGTTTTTGTTTTGTTTTTCCCCTGCGCTAAATGACCGTTATTGTGTCGGTGGGCTTTTTTTCTGTTACCCCATCTTAACTGAATTCAGGGGATGGTAGTTGCATTGATAAGTGATATTACCTGTACGCTGATTAATAAAATATTTTGTCAACAATGAGATTAATGGCGTTCCGTTTGTTTATCATCACAAATGTTGTTGAGGTTTTCTTCGTGGTCTTCAATAGTCCTGTCCCTGTCGTTTTATGCAAGAAAAATTCTGAAATTATACAAACTGAGCCCAAAAATGTGAAATTATGTGATTCTGTTAATTTTAACAAAGAATAATCAGAAATTATGCAAAAAATAATCCAATTTTGCTAAATTATGTGGGGTGCATAAAACGACGGGGACAGATAGTCTCAACAGGTTACCACGCACTTGTGGGCTATTATTATTGATGACAGTAGAAGGCATCTCTGTTTGGTCTTACTTTCTTTCTTTTCGTCTCTTGTTTCAGTATTGGGTTGGGGGGGGGGGGGGGGGCTCTAGTTGGTTCTTCTCCATTCCTTTCCCTCTCATGTGTCTGTCTTGCATTTTCGCCACACGTAATGAGTGGTTTGTTGGCGGGTGCCCTTGTGTGGTTTGCTTCTTCTTTCCTGTCAAATATCTACTGTCCTTATCTCTCCTCCGTGGGTGGTTGGCGGGTGCTCTGGTTTGGTTAGCTTCTTCTTTCCTATCAAACACCTATCGTCCTTATCTCCCCTCCTTCTTTTTTATGTTTGTTACTCTCTTGTAACACCTCTATTCTTCTGGCGCTCATATGACCTTATGCAGTTGTGAGCGCCGTAAAAACCTCTACTAAAACTAAAAACCTATCTCTCCTCCTTTTTTGTGGTTGTTTATCTCTTGTAACACATATTATAATCTTTATCACTTGTATGACTTATTTGTTATTGAAGTGCCGTAAACAGCTTACTAAAACAACAAAACACGTAATGCCTGTTATCATTTCAATGTGCTTCTCCTTACCCAAAA